TCCTAAAACAGGGGGGCAACTTGTAGATAAGGCGAGCATATACTTAATCCTGCCAAGGGCTTTGGGGTGAAGCGCCAAACATGCGGATTTGCCATATTCTCACCGCCGCAGACGAAGGCCCGGAGTTGACAGGCTTGTTCCTATTACCGATGCGTCTAATCGAACCCAGGTCCTTGAGTATGCTGGAATAGAAAGATTTGGCTCTCACGTGTGGGAGTTGAGGGGGGGTAGGGCAGTTTCACGATACTTTCCGGTTCTAAATTAGATGACTTCTACTGCTGCAATCATGTCGAGCAATTACAATTGTTACAGAATGCTGACCGTCAGATAAGAACGGGTGGCGATGAAATGGGGCGAATTAACAAATATTGCTCTTTCTTACCTGAAATTTGTGTGTGACTCGCCTTGTTTCTTTTAAGTATTTGCGGCATCAACATACCTGCTGTCACTGACTTGTGCTAAGAAGCTCCTCGGTTTCATGTTGCGTTTGTTGTCGTATTTGTGTCGACCTCGCATTTCCAACAACGTTCACTCGCTTCGCCCACCAATTCTCCAATACTCAGCAGAGACTGGCTCCACACCAATGCATGAGTAGTACCTTGGAGGAAGGAGCAAAACCTACTCCCGAATAACTCCTGAAATCCCTGACAAATGTGCAACTCTGCATTTTGACCGGACCACGAAGTATAGTCTGGCGTGTTCCTATCATAATCTGGAGACTGGAGCTGTCCACTGACAAGGCTGGTTTCCACCGCAACGTACTTCTCCCAGTCCATTTTGAGGACGTAAACCCTCACGAAACACAACCCAGGACGCACCACGAATCAACCACTACTAAGAAGCGAATACTTGTTTCTTATCGGCGACACTGGCGCAGGGTCAAGTCAACAACACCCAGAGCTGGCCACCCCATAAAAGTCCAAGTATTAGATTTATGCTCTAGCATTCTCTAGTGTCCCTGGTTCAACCCTTGAGCGGTAATCACTGCAAAGAGGCCACGCCATCCGTTTTTGGCCTTGATCGCTAACACATCCCGACTAGGTATTTTACACTACAATCCTTCTGGGCCAATCTTCCTCCTTTAACTTAATACAA